TTATTAAAAATAATTTTGATTTTGATTATATGTTAAGAAAGGAAATTCGGACAGAATCTTCTCATCATGAAATCTTATTCGAACATGGTTCATCTTTATTTGAAGAATAAACGATCAGTCGCAGCGTACGTCTCATTTTTTGAAAAATTGCCCTACCAAAAATTTTTTAACTAATATAACAATATACCTCCAAGAATAATCGTATTAAAAATCACAAGATTGATAACTATTCTTCTGCATCAATATTGCATTAATATCATTATTCATGATATCTTCTGCATTAGTATCATCACTTACAATAATCTTGTACATTAATAACATGAATTAATATCATTTTATAATAACACTTACAAAAACTCTCTTCACATATTGCTTGAAAAGAAATTCGAAAGACCTCGCGTATTATATATTTATTTATGATTAAAAATATTTACTATTCCCTTTTCCCCTTTGTTTCTCTTCCTCTCCTTTACAGTTATTAAACAAGTATTTATATTTACGTTTGTTTAATTTCTTCTTAAAAAGAAAAATATTTCTGTTTTGTTTCTTTCTTTTGTTCTTTTCGCTTATTATTATTTATTCTCATAATCAGTGTTGAGTTGAATTTATATAAGAAAAAAATTTAGAATTATTCACATGTGTCTAGAGAATTTTATCTTTTGTTTTTATTACTAACTTTAAACATTTGTTTTTCTTTTTCTGATCTTTCACCATAATAGAACTCACAACATCATTCAACAGTACAACGATTATGACGAAGTCTATTTCATCATTACTTATTATCCTTATCTTCTTCTTCCTAACAGCTATTTTTGAAGTAACTCTTAATTTACATTTTGTTCGACCATATACTGAAGGTTTTTAATCACATTGGTTAACTAATTCTAATGATAATAAAGATGATTTATTAAAATGATGGTTTGATCATAAACGAGTGATTGGTTCAAATAGAAATCGTGCTGCTGCATCATCATTATTCTATGTTCTACATCCCGTTATTCCATTTAAAGGTTAAATATCATCACTATTATATTCCTCTTGAATCTATTGTTTATTTTTATCTAGGATGTATTGATCCATCGGAACCATTTCAATGTCCTCAAAGTCAACAATGTATTGCTCTCCAATTTATTTGTGATGGTCATCCAGGTGATTGTCCTGATAATCTTGATGAAAATGAAGAAACATGCATTGCAGCTAAACGTCCAGCAAAGGAAAATATTGAAAAATTTCTTCATGCTGCATATACATTTCTATTTGGCGAAAAACTTTCGAGAAGTATTGATGAAAATAAAATATATTGGTTTGATACATTAGCATCAGCATTTTCTGGTGAGATTTCTTTCTTATTTTTGCTAATAAAAACTAGTTATTTTTTTTAGTGTCGAAAAATATTCATAGTTTTGCTGAAAAAACATTTATGTCATCAGGTGATCTAACACATTTTCGAAATATTTTTCAATTAATTCATGATGGTCGATTAGAAGATATTCCTTTGTTTGCATAAGAAGCTGTTAATGAAGGTCTTTTCAAACTCAAACTAGATCAGTTTTTATTTCAAAAGCTTATATATCGTCAAAAAAAAAGTTCTCATAATAATATTACAGCTAAAATACTATATCAAAAATCTATTTAATTATTTTCATCATAATTAGTATATTTTTTGTCTCTATTTTGTGTTCTTTCTTTTTGTTTTTTCTTGTCATATCTTGTTCTTTGTAAATCTCGATGAATTACTTCTACATTGTAAGTTACTTTTAACAATTCAGCTAGTCGTTCAATAACAGCTACTGATCGATGTTGACCTTGTTCACATCCGACTGCCAGTTTTATTGAATTTTTCTTTTGATTATGAATAAAAATTGATAGTTGTTCCGTAATCATTTTAATTATATCTTCATATTCCACTAAATTTAATAATTCATTCTGTATTCGTTTATGTCGTCCATCGTATTGTTGATAGTTTTCAACATTAGTTGTTGGAAAATGACGTACTGAATATAATAAATCAATATTTTATGGAACACCAAAGAAAATTAATTCGATAGTAATATCTCCGGCTTCAACCATTAATAACAAATTATATTTTTATAACGTTAGAAATGAATTAAACCTCAGTATACAAGGTTAATTTTATACTATGTTAAAGGAGGAAAAACAAAATTTCAGTAAGAATACAGTGTTGTCAGACGACAAACATGAGTCACGATTCTGATGTTTTTATCGTAATTACACGTGTTACAAAAATGACATATAGTAAAATAGATGCTTTTTATAGTTCTATACAGTGCATTCCAACCTATAATGAACATTTCAGGAATTTCATAATCGATTATCATATCTAGTAACACTCTTTAAAGATCACAAAAAAAAACCTGTTAACATCTTTGATAAATATTTTCACCTCGATATCGAAAGCACGATTTCAAGGCTGTCACAGTTATCCTAAAATAGAGTTAAATTTATATAGTTTCGGAGTACAAGTGATACTAATTTATCTAGCTGATTCATTATCGATCATCAGCTGTAAAACATTTGCTAGAAGAAAACAGATCCTAACTTTCGCTTTTTTTTTCTTTTTTAATTATTCTGAAATGTGAAAAACACAATATAGAACCTTGTACCGCATTTTTTTATTATAAAAAGACAGTAGATAAAACTTGATTTTTTGATAAAATTTATCTACTGTGCGTTTCTTCTACTATATACTTATGTTTCACTTCATTTTCGGTCACTTCTATGACGAATATTGTAGAAAATGACGTGCAAGACAGTTCTCTTTTACCAGTTTTTTTTCATTCGTCTGTAGTGACGGAATCACCTCCCTTGAGTTGTTGGAAATGTAACGACAAATTTCTGTGGATTTGCAGATAGTTTTAAATGAATTTTCTTCCATTTTATAGCCAGTTTCTAGAAACTATCATTGAATGATATTTGTGACTCGATTATTACCGATGCTTTACTATCTTTGTCATTATCAATATGGCTATCATTAGCAGCAATCATTTTTTCTGCTAAGTATAAATATTATAACTTATGATATTCTTAACTAACCGTGTACAATAGACAGACGATTGTATACAATGAATTGAAAGATTTGGATGATTCGTAGAAAATACTTCAGAAGGAAAAATATATCGATAAAGAACAGCCTCAGCAAGTGGAGTACCAAGAATTCATCGGATATGTGTGCAATAATGATTTATTAGAACTGAAATTGAGTTAAAAATGAAAAGCAGATAATATTTTAAAAAGCAGAAAAAAATTGGAAAAGCAGAAGAGGTGGCGACCTTGTTCACAAAATTTTGTTGAAATTCTTAATATAGAGTGAAGATAAATGTTAGTGTGTATTGTGTAATGTTTTATAAGAGCAATGTTCGTAGTAGAGTAGTAAAATATTAATGAATAAATAAAAGTCAGTCATCGATAAGTCTTAACAATGCAAGAGAACACTGACGGTGTTCGAATTCCAGTTTGTAACAACAATATCGGGTTTATTGTCGCTATTCACATCGACGACTGCTACTGAATATGGATAAGCACCAACTGCGTAAGTAGTTTGAGCATTGAAGGTGCCGTTGCCTGTGTTGAGAAGAACACCGACGGTGTTTGAACCATAGCTTGCAACAACAATATCGGGTTTATTGTCGCTATTCACATCGACGACTGCTACTGAATATGGACTACTACCAGCTGCATAAGTAGTTTGAGCCTTAAAGGTGCCGTTGCCTGCATTGAGAAGAACGCCGACGTTATTAGAATCTCTGTTTGCAACAACAATATCGGGTTTATTGTCGCTATTCACATCGACGACTGCTACTGAATATGGACTAGTACCTACTGGATAAGTAGTTTGATTATAAAGGGTGCCATTGCCTACGTTGAGAAGAACACCGACGGTGGCCGAACCCTGGTTTGCAACAATAATATCGGGTTTATTATCACTATTTACATCGACGACTGCTACTGAATATGGGTTAGTGCCAACTGCGTAAATAACTTGAGCATTAAAGATACCGGTGCCTGCGTTGAGAAGGACACCGACGGTATTCGAACCCACGTTTGCAACAACAATATCGGGTTTATTGTCGCTATTCACATCGACGACTGCTACTGACTGTGGTTGAGTACCAACTGCGTAAGTAGTTTGAGCCTTAAAGGTGCCGTTGCCTGCGTTGAGAAGAACACCGACGGTGTACGGCGAACCATAGTTTGCAACAACAATATCGGGTTTATTGTCGCTATTCACATCGACGACTGCTACTGACTGTGGTTGAGTACCAACTGAGTAAGTAGTTCGAGCATTGAAGGTGCCGTTGCCTGCATTGAGAAGAATACTGACGGTGCCCACCGAAAGATTGTTTATAACAACAATATCGGATTTATTGTCGCTATTCACATCGACGACTGCTACTGAATATGGGCTAGTACCAGCTGAGTAAGTAGTTTGATTAAGAAAGGTACTGCAGCCTATTAAATACAAAAGGTTTGTTCTCACATCTGTACTAGTATATAGACAATATTCGATCGTCGTATTTTATTCAATCTTTCAAAGTTTAACTTAATTGAACGTAATTTATTCGAAAAGATCATGTCACTGGATTTTGGGCAATTTCAAATATTCTAGAGCACAACTAAAGTCAATTTTCGGCAATTCTGTCCATCCCTACGTGAAATCGTCTTGTAAATTTGAAAAATTCATGAACTCATCTAACTCTACTTGAAACTTACGCTCCCTTTAATAAAGTCTCATGATACCCTCGACTAAGAGGACTCAGAATACTTTCCAAGCAGAACTCAGAATGCCGTACATTTGTCCACAATTTCATTTTAACTTGTATATCATTCCTTTTTTTCAATTGCACTATAATATGGAATTCTATGAGCAATACGATAATTCTGTTTCACACAAACCAACCATATGTCTACAGAAGTCTAAATTCTACTTTTCAAGTATTTTACAATTATATCTGCATCCACACCCTATTCTCGTTCTCGTCGAGAACAGCTCAACAAAAATAAGTTATACGTTTGCATTATTGCTGGTCTGTTTTTCAATGTTAGGCATAAGTATGCACGGAGTTAAAAGCGGAGTTATATCAGAGTCTGCTAGTGTTGTACCATTAAACTAAACTAAGCATTATACGTTTTAATTATTATAAGTTGTATTCGCTAATACTTAATCTTCAAATGGATGTACTTTTCAGATTCAATTACTGCTCTCTCGTGACTTTACAAATGCAAAAAACGTCGGCGACAGTATTGCCTCTACTTTGTTTCGGAATTCACAAAATTTCCAAGAAACAGCAGTTGAATTCAAAAGTACGTCAGTTAGTAGAGTAAATATGGAAGAACACAAATCACAATCCATAAAACTTCTAGTATTTAGCCTGGTTTATTAGCACAACATATAATAGACTACAATACAGTTTCGATTTTGACTCGGTGCGGCCGCACACTGATTGATCGAAAAATAACCGAAGGGGAAAAATGAAGGACTCAGATGGACGCGACTAAATACAGGGCCGGCCAGGAGTGCCTACAGGAAAGGCAACAACAACGAGGCTTAGTTCTTGCTGATAAAATCCTCGTTATGCTACTATACTCTAGTGCTATTTGACTATTGACATTTTTTTCTAAAAATAAAGTAATCGTCAAAGATATGTCCGAATCAACGTCAGTTTTTTTTAATGTCGGCTCTTGCAGTGGAGGTCTCTAACATCAGCGTGATGACTACAAATTGTTAAGCCAAAAAATAACGCTCTTACAAGAGACAACTGAGCGAATCTCGACACGATTATTATTTGTTCATCAAAGTGATAAACATCTGAACAGTAAAATCTCGAGCGTTTTTTAGTTTCTGGAAGTAATCCTCGGTCTGAAAGCTACAAAAAAATTACAACACATTATCTAGCATATTACTGACCGGCTGTAGTTGCTGCTGGTGTTGTTGATGTTGTAGATGATGAAGTGGTTGATGTTGTTGACGATGTGGATGATGTTGATGATGAAGTGGATGATGTTGTTGACGACGTGGATGATGATGATGATGTTGTTGACGA